CTTGAAAAATTGTAAACTATGTATCACCGCAGACACATTTTTGAATTTTGTTTTCTGCTTTCGTCTGTATCCCCAAATCTTTGGGGCTGGTGACTTGGGTCTTGCTGAAATTTTCTATCCAGATTTTAAATGTTAGCTTCAGAGAAGACAGATTGAGCTTCTAAGGATAGCTGCAATCTCACCACCACACTATTTCCTTTTCTTGATTGAATCTTAGGTCAACAGGTAACTACTTTTGACAATTTTACTCAACTCTTGGATGGTTTGGAGCAGTTTATTCCCTCGTATCAAAAAAATGTTGTACAAGGGTTCCCTAGAGAAACAGAACTGATAGTAAGAAACTCTGACCATATGAATGAAGGAGATTCCTTAGAATGACTTAGGGCTGTAGCCCTGATAGTCTCACAGTATCTAGCTGTGCAGACAAAGTGCAAGACCGCAGTACTTACTCAGTCTAGAAAGTGGGACCTCTCCGTTGGTCTTCAGTATATTCTGGAAGTCAGGAGAAGTAGTCGCTAATGCCAGTGAAGGGAGGGACTTGCAGCAAGGCAAGGGCCAGCTGGAAAAGAGCAAGACCTTCCTGTATCCATACCCCTTTATAGTCTCCCACCAGAGGGTGTGGCATGTTTACCCATCAAGGTCTGGATTAAGGGTGTGTTTGTCTTCTGGCCTCCAGATCAGGATTAGATCTATGTTTCCCTGTATCTCCAAGATTCCAGTTGGAATTGGATCTACATACCACAACTGAAGCAGTGCTCTCCATGTTTGGATGTTAGTTTAGTCCAGATAATATCAGATCAGGGAACAACAGTAACCATGAGAAGTGTAGTTTGCTTCTTGTGTCACATAAAGTTCTAAATTCTACTCATTCAGTCACAGGGACTGAGTAGATTCTGTCTCTCAATACCTTATATCTTGTTTGTTTAGTATTTTTCTGCAAACTGTGTTAATTTTATCATTTGTAGAAGTTTAAAATAAAGTTATTGTACATACTGATCCCGGGTCAGTCTCTATCCCCCAGCAGTGCACACATTCTACCCACCCAACCCCCAATCCACCCCTCAGAAAGGGGGTTCCCACATGGGAAATCAACAAAATCTGTGACATCACTGGAAGCAGACCAAAGACACTCCTCCATGTATGTAGAGTGAACAAGGTATGTCTCCACAGGGAATGGGCAACCAAGAGCCATTTCATGTGGTAGGGATAAATCCTGGCTCCCAGTGTGGTGGACCCAAGAAATGCCCAACCACACAATGGTCATACACAATCTTGGGACTAGTTCAGTGTTATGCAGGTTTGCGAGGTGTCAGTCCAGACTCGGGGACCTCCCACTTGATTCTTGCTTTGCTCAGCTGTTTCTGACACAGGGACCTGGTCACTCTGCTCATATTATCACACCTTCTGCTGCAAGACTGTAGTCCACGGGTTGGGCCATTGCTTAGCTCTGGATCTCTTCACCTTCCTTTGTGGGTTAATGGATGAAAGTTCTATGATGACAACTAAGGTAGTCATCAACGTGATTGCATGGCAAGTGCCACTAAGGTGCCCTCTTCACTGTGACTCAGAGTTTAAGCATGGCTCATGCTTTTGGATTATTGGTAACTTCCTTAAGACCATATTTCCGGCTAACCCAACAAATGCTCTCTCCATCAAAGTCTCCCTTTCCTTGCTCAGTTCCCCTGCAGACACCCCGACCTTGACCATCCCAGATCCTCGTGCTCTCCTTCTACCTTCTCCAATCTAACAACCACCTCATCCTTCACCGCTGTTCCAAATATACACAGGAGACCTTGTCTGTTTCCATTTTTGGGGGATGGGAGAATCCATGCATTTACCTATTAGGGCTCTTCGTGTTTTTGGACTCTCTGAAGTTGTAAAGTGTAGGCTGACCATCCTCTGCTTTATGTCGAATATCTACTTATGTGTGAGTACATGCGATACAGAGCTAAACAGGGAATTCTGAATTGTACTGTCTCTAGTGGCCAAAAGGCATAGGAGGATCTGCTCCATATCCTTAGCCATCAGGGAAATGAAAATGAAACCTCGTCTAAGATGTCATCTTTTACTGGTCAGAATGGCTTAGATCAAAACCATTAATGACAGTTTATGCTGGAGAGGATATACTGTACAGGAAACACTGTTATTTTGCTGGTTCCAACTTTTAAGCCACTGTGGAAATATGTGTGGGCATTTCTCAAAATGTTGGGTATCAATCTACAACAAAGCACAGCCTAACCACGCTTGGGCATATAACCAAAGGATACACAACCATACCACATGGACATTTGTCCTATCAAGTAGGCTCACAGAGTATTATTTGTAATGTCCAGAACCTGAAACCAACCTAGCTGACCCTCCCCTGAAATCTGGATAAGGAAAATGTGATACATATAAACAATGGGGTACGACTCAGAGGGGAATTCATTGATATCGTGAATTTGCATTCACATTGCTGGATTTAGAAGACAACAATCCTGAGTGGGGTAACAGCAACACAGAACAACAAACATGGCACATTTTTTATTTTAATGGGTGTTTTCTCTCCTCTCCAAATTTTGAGCTTCCATGCTTACTCTGTAGGACTTTAAAACAAGAGAGTTTTCTCTTTTATATCAGAATATATTCAGTAGTTACTGAAGGAAAGGTGTTCTGATGGCTTCTCTTCATATGTGATCAGTAAAATGCTCCCCATACTTCTCCCGTTCATGTTGTCTGGAGGTACTCCCTAAGCCAGGAAGAAAGGAAACTACCTCCACTCAGTGGATTCCAGCATAGGTCTCATGAATATCTGGCCATGATGCTTGTCCCATCCTCCATGTAGGATAAATCGATCAACTGGATATGAGCCCTGAAAAGTTGCTTCCTCAGTAAAGCCCCTATTACAGGTGGATAACTAGTACCACCTGAGACTCTTCTCTGTTGCAGGATCCCCTTTCCTCAAGAGTGTCAATTGAAAGGAAGCTAGGCTATCACTGCAAGGCCCCTCATTTATCAGAAAAGTGCTCTAAATTGTGGTCCTGAGCTTGCTTTGGAGAGTTGGAGCAGCCTCTCCTGGGGTGACTGGGAGCCACAGAGGCAGAAAGCATTGACTCTGTTCACAGAGCTACTCATGTCAAAAATGCCATTGGTGGTGGTCTTAATTTGGGTGACTTAATGTAGACAAAGCATTCACAGACCCATAGGATGAGGCTCCCTTCTGGGATTACATGAGAGTCCACCTAACAGAGAAAATCACTTGTCATATGGCAGAAACTTACAGAACAAATACACATGTAGAAGAGATAGTTAAGCATGGAGAGAGTTAGAGAGAGACACAGCAGTGTTTGAACACACACACAAAAACACACACACCCACACAAAAAACACACAAACTAACACAAACATACAAAGAGAAATATGAAGAGACGGAGAAAGAGTAAGCAAGAGAGAAGAGAAGGAAAAGAAAGAGAGAGATACAGAGTGATATAGATTATGAGACAGACACAGACTGAGGGAGAGAGTGATATACTTCAACATTAATTGAGAGATGAGATTGTGACATAGAAACAGACATGAAGACAGTTATCTTCATTCTTAACTGACAAGCACAGCATTGGTGGAGGTAAATAAATAGATTGAAAGAAAGATGATCTGTTACAGAGCTAGAGAAACAGACAGAAAGACAGTCAGGCTGACACACAGACACAAAGAAGCACCTTGTGTGTCACAGAGATATACATAGAAGAAAGAATCGGAGTGACACATAGTGAGTGAAAAAGAGCAAGAGAAAATAGGGACAGACAGACAGAGACTGATAGAGATTCAGGTGGAGGGGCACACATAGAGACGTAGAGGAGAGAGGTCCTTCACAAACTATTAAATGAATGCCTGAAAGTTCTTTTCTCTAGGAAGAGGGCCTCATATCCTGTTGGTGAGCAGTCTCCTACTCAAGATGAATCATGTTGAGAGTGTCAGTCAATCACATCTGGGAATTTTCTATCACAAAGCAATAATTTTATGATTTCTTTTTCTCCTTTTTAAGAAACAAAATATCTGATTTCCTGACTTTGGTGTAACCAGAAGTGTTATAAATAATAATATCAGTATCCCATAATACAAGCTGTAAAAATAACAAAAGAAAGCAAATTCTTTCTGCAGAGTGGGTATGATTTGACCATAGCCTGGCTACAACACACACACATGGAAATGCTGTCTTCAAACTTTGGTATCTAAACCATCAGGGAGCTTGGTTGGGATTAACAACTTAATCTATGACTCCAGTTTAATTTGGAAAAAGCTGTCAAAGGAGAATCAAAAGAGTCTGGCAGAGGAGGACAAGTTAGGGGCAGCAAAGTCCCAGCCTTTGAGCCTGTCTCCCTGAGAGAGTTCATTTTAACAGTGTTGGGGATGGAAGAATTATTTTTCCAATATCTAAAAACGGACCCTCAGTTCAGGTGGGGAAAGAATGGATTCTCAATAAATCAATGTCCTTCTCCTTTTTGAAAACCCATAAAGTCTTTAACAAAGACTAGACTACCAAAAGACTCTGCCAGATGCAGTTGTCTTCCTCACTTTTGGCATCTACTCTGCCAAATCCAGGTGCCAAGAAAGAGTAGTGAGGCTTTGTGTGAATGGTGCAGCCGTGAGGATGCTAACCAAATGCACACAACCTGAGCAGTACTGGATGAACTAATACAAGCTTCTTCAAACAGAAACACCATAGAATCCACAAAATGGTTGTCAATTTTTTATTCATTTTACAGTGTTTGGTTTACAGAAATGGATACACCCAGAGGAGGATTTCATTCATCTGGATCTGCAGTTAAGGACTTTGAGAAGTCTTCCTCATAAGCTGACAGCTGAACTCACTGAACTGGTCCTCTGCAGGAGTCCCAACTGCCTCGGCAAACTGTTTCAAAGTTCCAGAGTCCACACACTGGGTCTGGAGAGAAAAACAATCTTCCTTCCTCTCCCTTGTCTCTTGTAAGCACACATTCATGTTTGTTTTCTGCTTTGGTCTAAATCCTTGATAATATGCTCTGCTCAGTCTTATCCTGAGAGGTTCCTCCAAAGAAACCCTGTTGGGATGTGCTTGGGGCCACCAACACCACTGATTCCCCAGTATCAGACTCAATGTAGTGAAAGCAAACTAATATAGCATCTGGGTAGAGAATCCCAGAATGCAGTGCTCTCCCTCCCCAAAAACTGCCATTCAACTCATTTCCAGGGGTATTAAAGGCCTGAGCCCCCTTTCTGTCTTTCCACAGGTTCTCTGAAAATGCTACAGTGTCCCGCACTATTCCCAATAGTCGTTGGAAATAATGCTGGCTGCCGCTTATAGAATACAACTGTAGGTCAGAGCTAATAGGGTCATAACATTGTTTGAGGCATTTGGGAAGGGGCTCCAGTAAAGAGCAGTGAGCAGAAGCCAGGGAGCTGTATACTTCAGCCAGCAAGTGGGGATATGAGCCCACCATTGTCTTCCAGACTGAAGTCTCAGAGACTTCAGAAGCATGAGCTGTAATGAAATCCAGAGCCTGGGTTTTCAGCTGCGCTGCATTGTGGAGGTCAGCCAGGATGAGATTCTGGGCAGCAGTCTCTATGGAGAGATCCTTGCAGAGGGCATCCTGGCACATCACTGTCAAACACTCCAGGCCATACTTGTCAGCAGCTGCAAGCAGAACATCTGCCATGCTGTGGAGATCAGATGCCTTCCCAATGTAAATCAGTGTAAATCATTGCCCTGAAGCCTTGAGGCTCCAGATCGTGGATCTCAATGCGGTTTGTTCTGCTCTCCTCCATGTCATGTCCAAACATGGCTCTGAAAACTGGAAAGCAAGCTGCTAAGATGGCCTTGTGAGCCCGGAATTCCTGGCCTGCTACCACCAGACAGCAGTCTGTGATGAAGGAAATTTCCCACAGCTCTCCTAGCTCATCTGCCAGAGTGCACCTTGGAACCTGGATCCCTGGCATCATGGTCTCTTCAGAGAAGCCGAAGGATTCTTAGACCACAGTCACCTTGCATCGTAGGCTGAGTTCATTGTCTTTGAGCAGCCAAGGCTCCTGGGCCAAGAGGAAATCTCGAAGGATGAACTTTCTGAATCCCCACTGTTGATTTTCTAGGAACCTGAAGAATCTTGGGCTCTTCATGCCTTGTATTTCTTCTCCTTCAGAATCGATGATCCAAAACTGGAACTTGGCCCACACTGGTCTCCTTAGGCAGCTGAGCAATATTAGGTAAACTGACAAGTAGCCTTCGCTTTCTTCATCCATCCCACTCTGGTGTATTTTCAAACTTCATTTGTTTTTCCCTGGCTCCTGAGGAGAAGGTTGGGCTTTCAATGGCTTCCCTCATTTCCCGCATGATAGAACAAATGTTGCTGATGGTCCAACTGTAGGTAAATTTCTGGAAAGTGACTTTTGTGAAGCCTCAGCTCTCGGCTGCCAGGTCCCCTGACATATCTCCTAGTGGCAGTTTGACAGTTAACCTGGCTCCAAAACGAATAGGTAGGGCGTTTTCTTCTACAACCTGGAGGTCACAATTACAGATTCCTGTAACACAAAAAATAAAAGACCAGAGACTGATTTTGGGGCTCAAGCTTCAATCTGAACGTCAGGCAAGCAAAGCAGCCAAGCCACTAGCTCTTGTCTCTACCTCAGGCTCCCCAAGCATCATACAACTACCTCTCCTCAGCCTAACTGGAGATCATCTTTAGCCTGAGTACTGAAAGACACTGCTCCTATCGTTTATACCAGTCTATTGGTGGGCTCAAGGACTTGAGCTCTGCTACTCTTTTATGCTGGTTCAATCTAGTGTGGCCCAGGGTAGACCTGAACACATAGATATCCACCTGCCTTTGTCCCACAAGTCCTCATAGGAAACGTGTCTGCCAGGCTTCACTAGCTAAGCACTATGGTTGCTTTCCTCTTTTGATCACCAGTGACTTGAGAAATGGTAAACTATGTATCACTGCAGGCACATTTTTAGAATTTTGTTTTCTGCTTTCCTCTGTATTCCCAGCTCTTTCAGACTGGAGACTTGGGTCTCTGATATTTTCTATCCAGATTTCAATGTTAGATTCAGAGAGGACAGATTGAGCTTCTAGGGATAGCTGCAATCTCACCACCACACTGTTTCCTTTTCTAGATTGAATCCTAGGTCAATAGGTAACTACTTTTGACAATTTTACTCAACTCTTGGATGTTTTGGAGCACTTTATGCCCTCATATAAAAAATGTTGTACCAGGTTTCCCTAGAGAAACAGAACAGATAGAAAGAAACTCTGACCATATGAAGAAAGGGGATTCCTTAGAATGACTTAGGTATGTAGGCCTGATAACCTCACAGTATCTAGCTGTGGAAAGTGCAAGACCTCAGTACTTACTCTGTCCAGAAATTGGGACCTGTCCACTGGTCTTCAGTATATTCTGGAAGTCAGGAGAAGTAGTCGCTAATGCCAGTGAAGGGAGGGACTTGCTGCAAAGCAAGGGCCAACTGGCAAAGAGGAAGACCTTCCTCTCTCCATGCCCCTTTATAGTCTCCACACCAGTGGGTATGGATTATTTACAGATCAAGGTCTGAATTAAGGGTGTGTTTGTCTTCTGGCCTCCAGATCAGGATTGGATCTATGTATCCCTGTAACTCCAAGGTTCGCGTTGGAATTGGATCTACCTATCACAACTGAAGCAGTGCTCTCGATATTGGGATGTCAGTTTATTCCAGAAAAAGACAGATCAGGGAACAAGAGTAACCATGAGAAGTGTCGTTTGCTTCTTGTACTACATGAAGATTCTACATTCTAGTGGTTCAATCATGGGGACTAAGTAGATTCCATCGTCAATACCTTATATTTTGTTTGTTTGGTATTTTTCTCATAACTGTGTTCATTTTATCATTTGTAGAAGTTTAAAATAAAGTTATTTTGCATACTGATCCTGGGTCACTCTCAATCCCCCAGCAAAGCACACATTCTACCCACCCCACCTCCAATCCACTCTTGAGGATCCCCTGGGAACTGCACAAAGCTTCTCATCCCTTCAAGAGCAGAGCTGCCCAGATTCCATGTCTTCTCTTCCACCAAAGGGACCAGGTAACCAGCAGATCCAATGCCTAAAGATTGCCTGCGAACTGCAACATACTTCTCATCCCGTCAATATCAGAGCTCCCCAGATTCCATATCATCTCTTCCACCAAAAAGACCAGGAAACCACCAGACCCAGGAGACCAGGGGACCAGCTGGTCCGGTGGGAGAATGTATAATAGGCCGTGTATCCAGGCCATCATTCCAGTGACTGGGGATTGGCTAGATTCTGCACAAAGCTTGCCATCCAGGCAGAAGCCAAGCAGCACAGATTCCAGATATTCTATTCCACCAACGAGACCAAGAAACGAGCAAGTCCAGACCAGGAGATCAGCTGCTCTGGCTAGACAAGGTAAAATATGCACTGCATCCTATGGGAAGGTCTGTGTAGTTCCTGGGTGATGTCCTGCATCTGGGACTGATTTCTAGTTCCTGTGGTCGCCTAGGAACTCCATATAGCTTCCCATCTCTGCTGGAGCCTTACAGCCCAGATTCCAGATTTTCTCTTCCAACAATGTGAAAAGGAAACCAGTAGTTCCAGTACTAGTATATCGACTGTGAACAGCACATAACTTCCCATGCCAGCATGAAGCTAGCAGCCCAGATTCTATGTCTTCTCTTCAACCAACAAGACCAGAAAACCAACAGATCTAGGAGACAAGGGGACCTTCTGGTCCCGTGGAACCATGTTAAACAGTCCCTGCATCCAAGCATGCATTCCAGTGCCTGGAGATCACCAGGGAAATGCACAAAGCTTCTTATCCCAGCAGTAGATGAGCCCCACAGATTCCAGGTCTTCTCTTCCACCAAGTCCACGAAACCCAGCAGAACCAGGTGACCAGACGACCAGGAGTTGCAGCAGGAAAAGTTAAAACAGGCCCTATATCTGGGCCTGCATTCCAGTGCCTGGGGATTGCCTGGGACCTGCACTGAGCTTCCCATCCAGGAGGGAGCCAAACATCCGAGATTCCAGTTCTTCTCTTCCACCAACGAGATCAGGAAACCAGCAGATCCAGTGCCTGGTGATCGCCTGAGAACTGCACAAACCTTCCCATCCTGGAAGGAAGCTAGCAACCCAGACTCCAGATGATCTCTTCCACCAACGAGACCAGGAAACCAGAAGATTGAGTGCCTGGGGATCACATGGGAACTGCACAGAGCTTCACATCCTAGTGGGAGATGAGCAGCCCAGATTCCAGGGCTTCTCTTCCACCAACAAGACAAGGAAACCAGCAGATTCAGGGGATAAAGGGACTTGCTGGTACAGTGGAACCAGGTAAAACAGGCCCTGCATCCAGTCATGCATTCCAGTGCTTGGGGATCACCTGGGAACTGCACAAATCATCTAACTGCAGATCCAGGAAACCAGGGGACCAGATGGTCCTGCAGGACCAGATAAAATTTGTCCTGCATCCTGGCCTGCATTCAAGTGCCTGGGGACCTCGTGGGAAATGCAAGAACTTCCCATCACCGCGGGAACAGAGTAGCTCAGATTTCAGGTCAGGTATTCCACCAACGAGACTAAGAAACAAGCAGGTCCAGTGCCCCGGCATCACCAGGGAACTGCATAGAGCTTCCCATCCCGGTGGAAGACTAGAAGCGCAGATTCCAGGTCTTCTCTTCCACCAACGAGATCAGGAAACCAGCAGATCCAGTACAGAAGACCAGCTGGTCTGGGAGGACCACTAAAACAGGACGTTCATTCGGGCATGTGTTCCAGTGCCTGGGCATCACCCGGGAGCTGCACAAAACTTCTCATCCCGGCAAGAGCCAAGCAGCCCAGATTCCAGGTCTTCTCTCTAATCAACACAACCAGAAAACCAGCAGATCCAGTGCCTGGAGATCGCCTGGGAACTACACAGAGCTTCCCATCTGGACAGGAAGCAAACAGCCTAGATTCCACCAATGAGACCAGGACCAGCAGATCCAGGAGAACAGGGAACCAGCCGATCATGGAGGACTAGGTAAAACAGGCCCTGCATCCTGGCCTGCATTCCAGTGCCTGGGGATCTCCTGGGAACTACAAGAGCTTCCCATCATGGCAGGAGCAGAACAGCCCAGATTTCAGGTCTTGTCTTCCACCAACGAGACCAGGAAACCAGCAGATCCAGTGCATGGGTATGGCCATGGAAATACACAGAGCTTCCTGTCCCAGTTGAAGATGAGTAGCCAAGATTCCAGGTCTTCTGCTCCAACAAAGAAACCATGAAACAGATCCAGAACAGGGGACGATTAGGTCCAGCGGGATCAGGTAAAATAGGTCCTGTATCCAGGCCTGAATTCCAGTGCCTGGGGATCACCTGGGAATCGCACAAAGCTTCCAATCCAGGAGGCATCAAAGCACAGCAGATTCCAGGTCTTCTCTTCTACCAACAATACCAGGAAACCAGCAGATCCAGGAGAACATTGCCCATCTGGTTTGGCTGGACCAGGTAAAACAGGCCCTGCATCTGGGCCTGCATTCCAATGCTTGGGGATTGCCTGGGAACTGCAAAGTGCTTCCCATCCCAGCAGGATTCGAAAAGCCCAGATTCCAGGTCATCTTTTCCACCAATGTGTCAAGGAAACCTACAGATCCAGACCAGGGGACCAGCTGGTCCAGGAGGACCAGGTAAAACAGGCCCTGCATCTGGGCCTGCATTCCAGTTCCTGGGGTCTCCTGGAAACTGCACAGAGCTTCCCATCCTGGCAGGAGCTGAGGAGCCGAAATTCCAGTTTTATCTTCCACAAACGAGACCAGGAAACAAGTAGATCCTGTGCCTCAGTATTTCCTGGGAACAGCACAGTTTCCCATCCCAGCAGGAGATGAGCAGTAGAGATTCCAGGTCTTCTCTTCCACCAACGAGACCATATAACCAGCAGATCCAGGAGACCAGGGCACAAGCTGGGCCCGAGGGACCAGTAAAACAAACCCTGAATCTGGGCATGGATTCCAGTGCCTGGGGATCGCCTGGGAAATGCACAGTGATTCCCATCCAGGTGGGAGCTGAGGAGCCCAGATTCCAGGTGACCTCTTCGACCAAGGACACCTGGAAATCACCAGATCCAGATCAGTGTACCAGCTGGTCCAGGCGGAGCAGGTAAAACAGGCCAAGCATCTGGGCCTGCATTCGAGTGCCTGGGGATCACCTGGGAACTGTCAGTGCTTCCCATCTAGGCAGAAGATTAGCAGCCCAGATTCCAGGTTTTCTTTCCACCAAGGATACCAGGAAACCAGCAGATCCATTGCCTAGGGTCACCTGGAAACCTCACAGAGCTTCCCATTCAGGCAGGAGCTGAGCAGACCACATTCCAGGTCTTCTCTTTCACCAAGGAGACCAGGAAACTAGCAGATCCACCATGCCTGGGTATCACCTGGGAGGTGCGCAGAGCTTCCCATCCCAGCATGAGACGAGCAGCCCAGATTCCAGGTCTTCTCTTCCACCAACAAGACCAGGAAACCAGCAGATCCAGGATAACAGGGCATCAGTTGGTCCAGCAGGACTAGGTAAATCAGGCCCTGAATCTGGGCCTGCATTCCAGTGCCGAGTGATCGTCTGGGAACTGCACAGTGCTTCCAATCCCAGGGGAGGCAAACAGCCTGCATTCCAGTGCCTGGGGATTGCCTGAGAACTGTGCAGAGCTTCCCATTCTATCAAGCACAGATCCACCCAGATTCCAGGTATTCTCTTCCACCAACTTGACCAGAAAACCAGCAGATCCTGTGCCTGGGGATCACCTGGGAACTGCACAGAACTTCCCATTCGACAGGATCAGAGTAGCCCAGATTGCAGGTCTTCTCCACCAACCAGACCAGGAATCCAGGAGATCCAGTGCCTGTGACCGCCTGGGAACTACACAGAACTTTCTATCCAGGAGGGAAAAGAACAGCTCAGATTCCAGGATTTTTCTTTCACCAACCAGACCAGAAAACCAGCAGATCTAGGAGACCAGGGCATCAGCTGGTCTGGCAGAACCAGGTAAAACAGGCCCTGCATCTGTTCCTGCATTCCATTGCGTGGTGTTCACCTATGAACGGCACAGATCTTCTCATCCTGGCAGGAGATGAGCAGAACAGATTCCAGGTCTCCTTTTCAACTAACGGGACCAGGAAACCAGCAGATCCAGTGCATGGGAATCGCCTGGCAACTGCACAGTGTTTTCCATTTGGGCAGGAGCCGAGCATCCCAGATTCCATGTCTTCTCTTCCAACTACGAGACCAGGAAACTGGCATACCCATTGCCTAGTGATAGCCTGGGAACTGAACAGATCTTCTAATCTGTTCAGGAGGCTAGAAGCCTAGACTCCAGGTCTTCTCTTCCACCAATGAGACCAGGAAAACAGTAGAACTAGGAGATCAGGGGACCAGCTGGTGAGGCAGTACCAGGTAAAAGAGGTACTGCATTGGGACCTGCATTCCAGTGCCTGGGAATAGCCTGGGAACTGCACAGAACTTCCCATCAGGAAAGGAGCCAAGCATCCCAGATTCCAGGTCTTCACTTCCACCAATGAGACCAGGAAACCAACAGTTCCAGTGTCTGGGCATTGAATGGGAACTTCACAGGGCCTTCCTACTGGGCAGGAAGCAAGCAGCCCAGATTCCAGGTCTTCTCTTCCACCAAATGACCAGTACACCAGCAGATCCAGTGATCCCCTGGGAACGGCACAGAGCTTCCCATACCGGTGGGAACTGAGTAGCCCAGATTCCAGATGTTCTCTTCCACCAACTAGTCCAGGAAACCAGCAGACCCAGGAGACCAGGGGAACATCTGGTCCTGGGGTACCAGGTGAAACAGGCCCTGCATCCGGGCCTGCATTCCAGGGCCTGGGGATAGCCTGGGAACTGCACAGACCTTCCCATTCCATCAGGCGCTGAGCAGCCCAGATTCCAGGTCTACTCTTCCACCAACTTGACCCAGAAACCAACAGATCCAGTGCCTGTGATCCCCTTGGTACTGCACAGAACTTTCCATCCTGGTGGGAAATGAGCAGGCCAGATTCCAGATCTTCTCTTCCACCAAAAAGACCAGGAAACCAGCAGATCCAGTGCTTGTTTTTTTTCTTTTTTCTTTTTCCTTTTTTTGGTTTTATGAGACAGGGTTTCTCTGTATTGTTTTGGAGGCTGTTGGTTCAGCCTGGCCTCAAACTCACAGAGATCTGCCTGCCTCTGCCTCCTGAGTGCTGGTATGAAAGCTGTGTGCCACCACCGCCTGGCAGATC